CTGGGAAAGAAACTGTTTAATTAATTTACATTCATCCCCTAATCATCGTCACAGCATACAAAATGTGGTTTCCCATCCAAAATATACTGCATAGTGGCTTAATCATGTGTGTTATCATCAATAATTTTCCATTTCTAGTTTCATATATATATTTTTTTCTTTTTTAATATATATTTAACCCTATGTCTGACCCTCTGCCCTTTCCCACCCCCTTCTCACACTATCTCTGGTGTCTACATTTGATTTCCATTCCTTTTCCCCCCCACGTTTTATTTATTTATTTTTTTTTAGAGGTTTTTGCTATAGGGCGGATGCACTAGCCAGACAGAGACAGGATCTTGGGCACGCATGCACACACGCCCGGCATGAGTTTCAAACCACCGGGTCCAGGACGTGAACTGCAGTCTACTACATGGGAGTCCAGCGACATAGTCATTACGCTAACTGCTAGTCCCTCTCCCACATTTTTTTGTGTTTTATTGGAGAGGTTTTCGCTATAGGGCATGTGCACTCGCCAGCCAAACAGAGAGACAGAGAGACAGAAAGAGAGAAATCACTCCCCCGGGGGGGATGGCCACGCTGCAATCCCTTCTCCTCCGTTCTCCTCTCGGGATCTTGGGCACACATGCACAGGCACCTGGCATGAGTTTCAAGCCATAGGGTCCAGGACGCGAACCGCGGTCAACCACGTGGGAGTCCAGCGACATAGTCATTAGCTAACTGCTGGTCCCCCCCCACACACATTTTATTGATCACACAATTTCTTAAATAATCTAACTACTTTGAATAGGAAGTTCAGATGATAATTTCAAGAAAAGCAGTTTTGAATTGGTAAGCAAATTTGCTTAAAACTTAAATCCTGGAAATAGGTTAGTATTCTGTTCAAATAGTAGGTACATGAACCTATTGAACCTCTTGACAAAAACTCTGAAAACCGGACAGCGAAGCCTAGAAGAAAAGCAGCGATATTCTATTCAGAAGTCACAGAATGCCATTTCATCAGCTCAGGCTCACGTACTTTATCTTCTGTTGTGGTTTGATCTTCCCGATTGAATTCAGGGATATAATATTCAACTCCAGATTTGTTCCTATGATTAAGTTGGCCAGTTTTTGAACTCTTTATCTGCATTTAATTTTCCTGACATAGCACTCCCTTGAGAACTTCTTGGAGATCTGGTCTGGTGCTGGTAAATTCTTTTAGGTTTTGTTTATCTGAGAATGTTCTTGTCTTTTCTTCCCATATGAAGGATAATCTTGTCGGGTACAGTATTCTTGCTTCCTTTCAGCCCAGCAGACCACTTTTAGGAAATTGTCTGACATATTAATTCCCAAAAGAGCAAAAATGCGTACAAAGTATTTTTCGTAGAGGGAAAAAAAAAACCTGGAAAATAAGTATACAGGGTACTGAGCAAATAAATCACTTGTATGTTTGAGGAATTCCTAAGGTAAGCTAATGAGAAAAAAGGAAGCAAGATGCACAGTATGTGTAGCTGTATGTATACAAAGTGTTTGCTTACCTACGTATTTGTATATCCTTGGAGCAGCTGACCTGGTATCCACCCAAACAAACATGTTAGAAGGGAGAAAGGTGAGCAGAGATGGTAGAAAGACTACCTTTCCCCCCCTTAGTTTGGTATGGGGTGTATGCCTGTGCTGAGGAACAAAGTGAGAAATCACCCCCCCAGGGGGGATGGTACCTGTTACCTGCTATGCAGGGTTAGGGTCTTTGGAATTGCTTGAAAATTCACTGCCAAACTCATTTCAGTTGATAAAGTTACCCTTCTCTCTTAATTAGTTTCCTACAGGAGCAGTGGTTGTTTTAAGTTCAAGATCCATGACCCACATGTTGTGTCCTTTCCTAGAGAATCCAGCCTCAGCTCCCAGATGAAGATGGTGATCACAGTGACAAAGATGATGAACAGCCCCAAGTGGTGGTCTTAAAAAAGGGAGACCTGTCAGTTGAAGAAGTCATGAAAATTAAAGCAGAAATAAAGGCTGCCAAAGCAGGTATGGTATGAAAGGATTCTATTGCTTTATTTATTTATTTATTTATTTATTTATTTATTTATTTTTGGGAGAGATTTTTGTTATAAGGTGCATGTACTCGCCAAAGAGACAGAGAGACAGAAAGCGAGAAATCACCCCCCGGAGGGCATGGTTATGCTGCAATCCCTTTTCCTCATTCTCTTCTTAGGATCTTGGGCACACAGCACATGTGCCCAGCATGACTTTTAAGCCTCTGGGTCTGGTACCTGAACTGTGGTCAACTACGTGGGAGTCCAGGGATGTAACCATTACTCCATCTGCTAGTCCCCTGATTGCTTTATTTTATGTAATAGTATAGTACAATTGAAGGAGACAGTCCCGTGTTCAAGCCTTGGCTTAGACACTTGCTGAATGTGTAACCTTGAGCAAGGTATTGCATCCCTCTGTATCAATTTCCTCATCACTAAAATGGGGACAACAATTATACCTACCTTAATGGGTTGTTATGAGGATGAAGTACAAATTTAAGTATAAACATCCTGGGTTTTTAAATATTTTTGCCAGTGGGTACATGTGCTCTCCAGAGAGAGACAAAGGGAAAATGATAAGGCATCCCCACAACGGGCAACATTCATTCCACAATTCTTTTCCACTTCTCCCTTTTAGGGAATTTTGGGCACACGTGCCCAGTGTGTTTTGGCTGCTGGGTCCAGAACTAGAACCATGTAGTCAACCACCTGGGATCCACCTACTTTCATCACCATGTTGCTAGCTGGCCCAGTATCCTATTCTCTTTTTAAATGAGATATTCATGATAGTTAAGATGCTGGATTCCTACATGGCCAACCACTGTTCAAGTTCTGGATCCAATGGCTTGAAACTCATGCCAGGCACATGTGTGTGTACACGCCTAAAATCCTGAGAGGAGAATGGAGGAATAAGGGATTATGGTGTGGACATCCTCCCTGTGGGGTGATTTCTCACTGTCCCTCTGTATCTGTCTCTCCAGTGAGTATATGTGCCCTATAGCAAAAATCTCGAAAAAAAATTTAAAATAAGATGATTAGGTTTATGAACAAGTCAAAAAAGTACTGTTTAATTAGTATCTGAAATGTGATATACTATGGAGTATGTTTCTTCCTGTTCCTAAAAACTTATATTGTGGAAAACGCTGTAGTTCCAAAGGATCACTCTTTAAAAGACATAAAATACCAGCTAATTGTGGTTAGTTGGGCCTGGGGCTTTCTGGAGTAGCCAGTGCATGAGTTTTTGCTGACTGACTCCATGTCTTATGGGGCAGATGGCTACAGAAGGTAGAGAAGACCAGACAGAATTGACTCAAGAGCATCCTGACATAACAATGGGAGATAGTCTTGCCACCTGACTCTCTAATAAGGACAAAATGAAGAAGAGAGAATAAAGTTCTTTAACTTTTTGTTGTTGTTGTTCAGATGAAGAACCAGATGCAGCTGATGGGAGAATTATTTATCGAAAACCAGTCAAACGTCCCTCAGATGAAAAATACTCAGGTTTATCAGCCAGCTCAAAAAAGAAGAAAACAAATGCAGATGAAATGAGTAAGCAGGACTCAGTTAAAAAGAACTCACAAAAGCAAATAAAAAACAGTAGCCTTCTTTCTTTCGACAATGAAGATGAAAACGAGTAAGTGTAAACATTTTGGGGTTAGTCGTCTTCAGAAGTAAATGGGATATTTTTAAAAGTAATTTTTTCCAGAGTGTTTTTAAATAACATTTTTCCCTGTTACAAAGATACTACAAGTCCACTGTAGAAAACTTAGAAAATACAGAAAATTTAATAAAGTAAAAACTGTGTCTATCCATCAGTACCACTCTGTCTTGAAATGCCTACTCTGTAGAAGCTAACGATTATTAGTGTTTTATTTCCTGAATGTGTGTATGTATTTTAAGTTACATATATATTTTTTTTTGAGAGATTTTTGCTATAGGGTGCATGTGCTCGCAAGAAAGAGACAGACAGACAGAAAGCGAGAAATCAACCCCCCCAAGGGGGATGGCCACACTGTAATCCCTTCTCCTTCTCCTCCATTCTTCTCTCGAGATCTTGGGCATGCACGTACACGCACCTGGCGTGAGTTTAAGCCACTAGGTCTGGGACTCGAACCATGGTCGACTACATGGGAGTCCAGCGACATAGCCATCATGCCAACTGCTGGTCCCAAGTTGTTACATTTTTTAAACGAATTTGAGATTGTGTGGAATATATATTCTGTCCTGCTTCTCACCTGATATTACATTGTATTTTTCCAGGTCACTAAATTAAAACAATCTGACATTAATAGCTACAGAGAATTTATATTTAACCAGATCCCCTTTTGTATCTTCTTCATTAGCAGAACCTTGCTTTGGGAGGGGAGGACCATGTTGTCTCTAGTTAAAAATACCTTTTCATTGGGGCCAGCAGGTAGTATGTCAGTTAAGGTGCTTGATTTCCGCATGGCTGACCGCACTTTGGGTCCATACCTGGTGACTTGAAAATTATGCCAAGTGTGCCCAGAATCCTGAAAAGAGAATGGAGAAGAGATTGTGGTGTGGCCATCCCCCCAGTGGGTAATTTCTCACTTTCCTTCTCTGTCTATCTGTCTGAATATTGAGTGCATGTTCCCTACAACTAATACAAAACAAAACAAACAAAAAAACCTCATTTCTTTTTTTTAAGAGAGATTTTTGCTATAGGACACTGACAGGGCCATGCAGACAACACAAGCTGGTAAAGAGGCTGTCTCTCATGGCCTGGGCTGGGAAGAAACTGTGAGACAAGGCCAGCGGTTTACTAACTCTCGTTGCGTCGTTTTACTGGCCTGTAGTTAATTTTTTTTCCTGTGAGTTTTACTGTTATTACGGTATTTTGCAAGGGTAAAATATTACTCTCAACTATTATAATAAAGTTAATTAGTGATTTTGTAGAAATGTGGTTCTCTAAGACAGGGCAGGGCAGGAAGTTTGAGACTCCCTTACTTGTCTGTTTTAGCCAAAATTAACATATGTTAAGATTAAGTTAATATGGCTAAATTAGCATTAGTAACATATGTAGATTAAGTTAGTTTAAGGCTAGTTTTATGTAAATACTCCTTGTTAAAACTACAGGCCAAAGTTAGCTCTTGCTAGGCAAAGTCAGCACATTCACCTAGAGATAAAACAACTCACTAATTGACAAACTCAACAAATAAAACAAAAAACCTTTTTTTTTAAAAAAAAAAGCCTGACTGGCACGACAGGATGAACAAACCTGAGGGCTCCAAAAAAAAAAAAAAAAATTAACTACCTTAGCTGGAAGCTCTTATCTAAAGCAACAGGTAGCTTTCAGCTACAAAAAGTTTCTCATCTATGTACTGTTGACTATAAAAAACTGCTAATAGGGACCAGCAGTTAGCATAATGGCTATGTCGCTGGACTCCCACGTAGTCGACCGAGGTTCGAGTCCCGGACCCGGTGGCTTAAACTCACGCCGGGCGCGTGTGCGTGCGTGCCCAAGATCCCGAGAGGAGAATGGAGGAGAAGGGATTGCGGTGTGGCCATCCCCCCTGGGGGGTGATTTCCTGCTTTCTATCTCTCTGTCTCTCTCTGCCTGTCTGGCGAGCGCACGCACCCTATAGCAAAAACCTCTCCAAAAAAAAAAAAAAAAACTGCTAATAAACATCCTGTGTTGTCTCCTGAGCTACAAGATCATCTTCCTTTCCCATATAGATCATAGACTCATCCTCTATTGTTGTAATATATAAATAGTCCATATATTAACTGTGTCTTTACTTAACAAGACAAAATTTCTACCTAAGTCTTTGCAACCAGCAATGTTATTGCCCTAGCCCGGGACTGAGCCTATCAAGAATCCTGCAAGCCCCCTCTTCAAAAGACCCTTCCCAGTAATCAAGATCTAAAAAAAAATACAACAGACAAACAGACTTCCTTATCCTAAAAACTGTAATTAATTTTTACTTAATTTGACAAAACAACATGTTTTATAATTATTGTTTCCATGCTTTATATACCCTATTCCTTAGAGTGGGTTTTTTTTACTACCCCTCACCCCCCCTTTACTTCCTAAACATCCCTCAATAAATACACATGTCTTAATAGCCACGGGGCTGTAGCCAGCTGAGAACATGCTAAGGAGCATTGAGATTTCAGCCTAATTCTATTCACCTGCGCCGCCTTTGACAAAGTCAACCCACCCTCGCCGAGGCTAGACCCCAGCAAATTGGCGCCCAACGTAGGACACGTATGCTTGCCAGAGAGACAGAGTGAGAAATCACCCCCCAGGAAAGATGGCTACATCACAATCCCTTCTCCACTTCTCAGGATTTGGGGCACACACACATACATCTAACGTGAGTTTGAAGCCACCGGGTCTGGGACTTGAACCACAGTTGAATACATGGGAGTCTAGTGATGTAACCATTATGCCATCTGCTGGTCAAATGTTCCTTCCCATTTTCTGATGTAAAGAATAATGTACTTTTTTTTTTTTTTTTTTTGGGGGGGTTTTTTCACTGGTA